TTCCCAATGAATTGCACTGTGCTGGAGTTCGTGAGTTTTTTTAGCTGGTGTTTTGCTTTTTCTTCTTCTAAAAACACCAATTTGGTGCCAACCCATGCTAGTAAGGAACCCAACCGCAAGCTCCTATTTTTCTAGATACCTTTCTTTTCTTTTGCCTTTCTTTCCTTCTTTTCTGACCCATCTCATCTGTCGAGGGGGGGGCTTGACCGTTTTCTCGAGGAATGAGAGAACCCGCCCTTGGTTACAGTACTCTCGTGACTCGTCCCATTTCATTTCATCTCGTCTCGTCTCGTCTCCATTATCTTGGTCCAATCCATCGATTCCGCTTGCACTGTGCTTAGTGCACGTACATAGTCATCAAGGTTATCTATGTACTAATGCAGAGTTAATGTTACTATCCAGGTCTTTGAGCAACCAGTTACAGGCATAAAAGACAAAAGATTTAATGAAACCAGCGGTATGGCTTTTCCTCGGTTGCTTCGGTTGCTCCTGCCATTTCCCATTCATGAGGTAACTTGATAGGTAATGTTACCTACCTGCTACCTATAGCATATCGACTGTACCTGGCAGTCTGGGTACCAGGTAGATGGCCTTTTCAGGGGTACCATGATATACCCCAGGTAACTCTCTGGAAATACCGACCGCCTAGTTCAGCCAAGCCATGGTAGACAAGCGTGTACCCGCGATGCTGGGTTCGCAACCCATGTCTCCCGCAGCGTATCTGCAACCTTCCACGAGTGAGCACCGGTAAGCATGTAGCCGATCGAACAGCCAGGTACTCAAGCAAGTACGGAGTAGGTACCCAGTCTGCATCCTCCAACAAGCCCCTGGTCACGTTTATCTGAGGTTGTTACTGGGAAGACACGAAACCGCCGTAACCGGGAAACAACGAAGAAAGAAGAAATTCCTTCCTTCTCAACGAAAATTCTCTTCTCTTCTCCTCGTCATAGAATACCATATTAACGGGGAGAAAGAAAGGGGGGAGGTTGCAAGTAGCCGTGTCGTTTCACATCCTTCCTCACTTGAGCCGCTTGAGATGTCCGATCTTTAGTACAAACTACTTCGCAGCAAGGGCCATTGGGTATTCTCCATACACTCCAGAAAAGCTATAATACTAGCATCCACTGCTAGTCTAAACGTTCTTTGATCTACAACCTCAACCTTGACCTCATCCCAGTCTGTACATCACAAGACCATTTCTCGGTTCCATCTGCCGACTTCTATAAACTACTTATACGGCAGTATCTGTCGATATCTCCTCCCCTTCATTGGTTATCAGTCTCTCATCCACCTACCTCTTGTGCTCCTTTCTACTTTACAAACGGTTCACATCTTCTCGGCTGTAAGTTGCGCTTTCCTTTCGAGGAGTTAAGAGTTTCGAAACGCCTCCAACGTCACTTTTGTACTTGCCACGATAGTTCAACGTTCCTTTTTGTTATGTCCTTCCTTGCCCCAGCCGACCAAGACATTTAAACAAGCACTTCGCTCTCCAGTTTCATTCCTCAATCTCTTCTTGTTCATCACACTTATACCCCATCCATACCTACTACGATCCCCATTATCCATCATCTTTGATATTAACTTTCATTCTACCTCTTGTCTTACACACTAGGCAGATACCAGCCCGTGCCCATTCCCCAACCATCTACATTGCTTATTTCCTCGCCCGTGGAACAGTCTGGCTTATACAAACAGTTCAGTACCGAGACGTCCTCCACAGAAAACCACTACCAATCCTCCCCAGGAACCACTATCATGACATCTCTCATGCCTAGGCCCGGACGGGCCGCCGTTGAACTAGCTCTTTGTGCCACCCGTGTAGTAGATGCGCCGGCTGGAATCCCCGAAGGATGGCCCAGATCACTACATGTATCTATGGCATGGTCCGGTACTCAGTTCAAAGATGAATCGGAGTACATCTTGACTTTGACCGAGACGCAAATACAGGAAGCCGAACTGGCTCTGCAGCACTTCAAAGGTACGTTCCTTGAGCCTCCCCTTTTGTGGCGTCCGGGATGTGGCTTACACTAAATAGCATTGGGTCTCGATGGGGATTGTGTTTCCCGAGACAATTTCCCCCTTCCTACTTTGGGATCTCTCCTGGATCGAGTTCGCCAAGACGTCCATCAAGGCAAGGGCTTCGGTGTCATTCGTGGCCTAGACCCGCAGAAGTACTCCGTCGAGGATCTGACGGTGCTATATCTCGGTATCCAGTCGTACATCGCTAGCTGTCACGGCCGCCAGGACCGAAAAGGCAACATGCTTGGTATGTGTTCATTATTTGAAAACTGGCATTTTTTGTCCTCGACTTTGCTAACTTGTTTCCAGTTCACATCGTTGCCGACAACTCTTCGAAGCTCAAGGCTGGCCATCATCGTCATTCCACCTCCCCCATTGTCAGTACATGCACCTGCCATCAATACAATCACGCTAACTTGCATTCCAGACTTTCCACAATGAGGAAGCCGGCGACATCGTGAGCTGGCTCACTCGAAACACAGCCGTGTCAGGAGGCAAATGCATCATCGCATCGGCCTACACCGTCTACAATGTTCTTGCCGCCAGTCGCCCTGACATGATCCGCACACTGTCTCGCTCTGACTGGCCGTTCGCCCTGTAAGTTATGTCAATCATATACGAAGAGCAGATCAACTGACTTGTTGCTGGGATAGGCCCCGCTTCCAATGCCGCCCTGTTCTCTTCCACCACGATGGGAGAGTGATTATGAACTTTGGGCGAGTGGCCCTGACAGGGAACGCGGTTCACCCACGGTCCAGCAACCTCCCCACTATTACTCCACGCCAAATGGAAGCTTTGGATTCCATTGAGAATATTGCCAAAGCGACTCAACTGGAGATTAGCACCCGGCCAGGTGACATGCACTTCGTCAACAACCTCACAGTCTTGCATCGTCGTGAAGGTTTCGTCAATGGCGAAGCTGCTTCGGAGCGTCGTCACTTGGTGCGCATGAGACTTCGTGACAATGAATTGGGATGGAACCTTCCCATGGACCTGAGACGGGAGTGGGATGATGCTTTCAACGAGGACGCCCCCAAGATCTGGCACATTGAACCCATGCCGGATGGCTTCTTTCCCCTCAGGTCTCAGGCCAATTGAAGTTGGGCTTGCGACCAACACAATTGTGGGGAGAACAGAGAATGTATACGCATACATGATCACAACTCGGCAAACATGACGAGGTTATCGAACGCTTGTCGGTATTGGAATAAAGGCGCACAAGAAAGGCAAGGGGTAATATGGGGGTAATGGAAGCGGCGCTAAAAGTTATGCTACACGGTCATCATTCGGGTATTGAGTATGTTTTTATTTGGTGTCACGGTCGGGGAAAAGCAACGGACATTGTTTTCTTGTCTTTAGGGCGAACCTGGCTATTAGTATCTGCTTTACGTTGGCGAAGGGCAAAGGGCAAGGGGCAAAGGAGAAGTAATAGCTTTATCGGAAGTCTGTATTAAACAAATCCCTATGAATAGGTGAATACATGGAGTCGCATGCAAAGATCGATGGATGTTCAGGAACCAGGAGCTGTCAAAAGTGAGATCTAATAAGTAACAGGGATAAAGTAAATCAGCCCCAATGCGACCCAGCTGGCACATGGGCTCACCCATGTCGGCTCTAACTTGGCTCATATCGAAAGTGTCAGGTGTTTACGGGTCTGCGCCCGCGAATAGTGCCATAGGTCTGCACAGAGCGCATGGAGCAGCTTTACGATCGGCAAAAGAGTGTCGAGATGGCTGAGGGCGAAACTTGTCCAAGCAATGACATGTCATGTTTTGAGAAACTAGCTAGCATCGATGAGACACACTTAGAACGGCGATGAGATCAGAGACATGCGAGAAGTGATAAGGTATCAAATCAATTGTCTATCCCTAGCCACAATCAGGTCAGACGAGATTTAGAATGAGGATGAGGCTGGCGGAAAGTTGGCAGGGGCATGAGCTGGAGCTGCAGCTGGAGCTTGGGGCTGGAGCTGGAGCTGGGACGTTGGGTCTACGTACTATGTGATGATAGACTGGTGATCATGGTGTGGTGACAGGGATATTGGCTCGCAAGGGTGTGTTTGGTGGTAACCAATCCGAGAGGCTACCATCAGAAAAGATGTGGCTTCCGTCGATGAAAATTGGGTGACACAAGATGAGCGTTGGCAAGGGTTTCAGATGTAGAGATGCATTAGGTGGAGGGAGATATGGAATGACCGATGAATGACTTGTCCAAGTATTCAATATAAAATGCATCGAGTTTCAAATGATTGGTTGAGTTATGAGAGTGAGGCAGCAGATACGATGAAACCATTGGACAATGAACGAGATCTGGATCAAACCATTGGTGTCAGAGTTGCACTTTTGCGGTCGTTATTTACCTGCATGAACTTTACTAAATGGCCAAGTCTACTATTATACAGCAGCAAGGACGAAGCGAACTAGAAAAAAGCCCCGAGGGAATCGACCGGATTATGCTATTGCTTTTTAAAAGAGCTTGCGTTGCGTTACTTGCTTTGTATCTCCCCGTTGTCTCTCAAACTCCCTCCCTGTCCAATAGTTGCTTCTTTCTTCACTTTCACCTGGCACGAGACGAGGGTCTCTCTTTTCTCGAAACCAACTCTATCACTGCACTGTGCTATAAAACTGTTACTGAAGCGGGCAGATAATGGCGGTCAAGACCAAGGTTATGGTCGATGACGAAGGGACAAGACGATTTATGATGATCCAAGGGAGAGTGGCGCGGCTGCTGTCAAATGTTCCAAGGCATCGTCAAAACTACGAGTTGGTGGGGAAACAGGTTGATACAAGACATTTTCTCTTATCAAACAACGAATTATAGTCTACGGAGCAACTCCAGGCTATCAATTGTGACTTGACAACCAGCAGTGAGCAAGTTTCGCAGGGAGACATGACGATAATTGTGACCATGATGAAAGCACTGTTTGAACAGAATAAAATATGACGAGACAAGAATAGAAACTTTAATGCATAGATATCAAAATGACGAGACGGTATGTAAGTACATAATACATACAGATACCTGGTGGAGAGAAGAGACAACTGCCTCAGACGAGATGGACCTAGATTGAATGCCTGCTGTGGAAACGAAACAGTCCCATCCGCACCGCCTTACCTGAAAGATGATCACGGGAGCGGCGGCACTGGCACTGGCACTGGCACTGACACTGGCGGCTGCGCCTGGAACGTTAAGCGAGCCCCGCTGATACGTTATCTGAATACAGTGTTTATACAGTGTTTATATCTAGCGTTCTTCTCACCGGTTCCCAACGCCTAGCAGGTACGCTAGAACAAGTCCCTCGTTAGCGTCACGAGCAGCTGGAGATCATGGCCCCAGCAGACTTGGCCCCTGTCTTGCTAAGGCAAGGCACCTGTGAAAGCTTTAGGCTCAGGTATGCTTGCAAGGGGTGCACAGTGCCGCGAAGTGAACCCAATTGGCCACCTTCCCCTTACCGTACGTACTCCTTCTTCGTTCGTACTGCACGTCCCCTTCCCACTTCCCCCAATCTCAAACGCGCAGGGGATCGGCTTTCGAGGCTTCCATCTTCCAATCTTGAAAGAAGCATCATCAACCAGCATCAAACTCCAATCCCGAGCCGCATCACGAGTTGACGCATCTCGGACCCATTCTTTTTTCTTCTTCCACTCCTTTCGCCCTTTCCTTCTAATTTCCAGGGCCTGGATTTTAGCATTGTTTCACTGTCGGCCTGCTACTGTCAAGTCAAGCCAAGCCTACAGTATCTCGCCTCCACTGTGTCAAAGGGGTACATCACTCGTAACCTATGCTGGTCGTAGAGGGCGTTAGTTGAGACAAAGCACAGCGATTACCACGCATCGCATTACAGCTCAATACTTCCATCACAAACGCCCCAGCCTCGTCTCATTATGGCCGCAGCTTCAGGGTTGCTCAAGGGAAAGGCTGGTTCTGGTTCTGCAGGATACCAGCCAGTTTATCAAGATGAAGGCGATGGACACGATGAGGATCATCCGGCACCCCACGTCCAACCGATTGCTCCCCGGGGTCCAACGCGAACCTACCGCAATATGGTGATCCTTCTCTCGGGCCTTGTCGTCATCCTCATGGCCATGAACCTCTACCTCAGTCTTCCTTTGGCCTTTAGTTCCGGCTCCGGCTCATGTCCGGGTGACCCACCCCGAGTGCCCCAGTATTTCCAGACATCGCCGAACCTATGGCCCGGTGTGACGGAGACTGGCAAGCCGGCTTTCATGGCCCAGACTCATGTCTTCGAGCCCACGGCTACTTTTGTCCCCAATGATCCGCTACAGACTTCCATCCCCATCGAGGGTATGAAAGAGGGTAACCGCAGCATCTTCCAGATGATGGGTTACCTAAGTCCCTATTCTCCCTCCACCGGTTTCGGTGTTGATGAATATCCTATTCCTCCAGGTGCAGAGATTGTTCAGGTCCAGATGCTGTCTCGTCACGGCGCCCGTTACCCAACCCCTGGTGCAAATGTTGCAACCCTCGGTGAACGTCTCGCGAATGCTTCAGCGAGTCTCAAGACCACCGGAGCCTTAGAGTTTCTCAACGATTGGAAGTATGAGCTCGGCAAAGCGATCCTAGTGCCGAGAGGTCGCCAGGAGCTTTTTGAGTCTGGTAAGAGATGATCAGTCCAGGATTGCAGCGTGGATTTCAGTTAACATTGGACCACAGGTATATTGCACAGCTACATGTATGGTAGCTTGTACAATCCCCAGAGCAAGCTCATTGTCAGAACCACCGTATGTTGTGTTATATATAATTATATTGTGTCGATGAGCTAACTCTTCATAGACACAAGACCGTATGCTCAAGTCTGCCGAGAATTGGATGGCTGGATTCTTCGGCCTCGAGTGGTAAGTTACGTTCCACGAAACAACTCACAGAATACTGATACCAGTAGGACCAACAATGCCACCATTGAAGTCATCATTGAAGCCCCTGGTTTCAACAACTCACTCGCCGGCAGTCTCAATTGCCCTAACGCAAACAAGGCGGACTATGTGACCCCTGTGGCGGCATGGTATGAGAAGTACTTGAAGGATGGTATGTCACAAGTGAAGACTATAACTCTGAGATAAACCCTGACAAATAAAATAGCGACTGATCGATTCAACAACGTGACCGAAGGCTTCACCTGGACTGCAGCGGACGTTTGGGCTGCACAGAATATGTGTCCTTACGAGACTGTCGCCTATGGCTTCAGTAGATTCTGTGACCTCTTTACTTATGAGGAATGGGAACACTTTGGCTACTCAATCGATCTGGGATTTTCTTCCGGAGCCGGGTTTCAGAGCCCTATCGGCGTATGTACACTCTTCCACTCATATGGGCATTGCTAACCATTGATACAGAGAGCAACCGGTCTTGGCTACCAGCAAGAGGTTATTGCGCGCCTCAAGAACCACACCCTTGGTTACTCTGGCTCGCAGATCAACACCACTCTGGATGGCATGACAGAGACATTCCCTCTGAACCAAAGCCTCTACTTTGACTTTTCTCACGACACCAACATCATCTCTATTCTGACAGCTTTCGGTTTCCGCCAGTTCGCCGAGGATCTTCCCACCGATAAGTACCCTGGCGACCACGAATTTGTCGTCTCCAAGATTACACCCTTCGGTGCCCGTCTTGATATCGAGATCATCAAGGCACCCCATCCTGTCTCGCCGGATAGGGATGGCTACCAGGAAGGCAAGGAGACCAAGTACATTCACTTTGTGCTCAACCAGCGAACTGTACCCCTGGGTAAGAGTTTCCCAGAGTGCGATGTCAACCGAAAGGACGGCTGGTGCGAGCTTGACACGTTCCTTGAGGTTCAGGACAAGATGGCCGAAAAGGCGCAGTTTGATTACTCTTGCTTTGGGGATTACCCGGCGCCGCCGTATGGTAAAGTTGCTGATGGAGTGCCACCATCATAAACCATGTTGTTTCATTTACAGTGAAAGCATATAGGATATCATTTAGGTTTTGTAGATGGACACGATACCATTGAGTTATGGACCTGTCATTTATTTATCTTTTCATGGGATTTAACATAGCACGGAATTGATATAGAGAGACACGCCAGGATATTTGATGTTATGTTTACTGGTAGTGGAAACAAGTCATCATGCGATATACATTTCAATCATAATGTTCAAAATGCACTCAAGAGATATGAAAGTATGAAGAAATAATCTGATTCAGTGACTACTATCTGTAATATCAGATTGCACGATTATATGTACGTATCCAATGACCTGTGTCGCTTTTCCCAAGCCATACACATCTACCGCCGGGTATTCAAAACAATAAAGGCATATACGTCGACGAGTAGATCATTCCTTAACGCCACTGCCTGCTACTCCCAGTATCCCAAAGTATAATCAAAAACAAAAAGAGAAGTTACTCTCGTGACAAATAAAACCCTCTATATCAAACAAACAAGGCTAACCGACTCGCAAAGACAAGGTTGCAAATTGCAACTTTAAGCATGCTTCTCGTTGATGACCGCGTCAGGCGCAATAACATCTGGTGTGTTGAGAGAAGGAGTCTTGCGGGCGTCATCTGACTCGCTAGGGTTCATCATGGACTGGTGCTCATGGATCCCATGAGTGGGCTCAAGGACGTCACCATCCTCAGCGGGCTCACCACGTTGGGGGCTCCAGGCAAGGAAGTCTCGGCGAACCTCAACGTAATCGTAGGAGAACTCACCATGCTGGTCATCGTCCATGCCAAGGAGTTCGGCCTCCTCGGAAGCACGGAGCTTAAGACCAGGGATGAGGTCAATGATCTTGGCAATGATGGCGGACATGACAAAAGCGTAGGCAGAAGCACCAACAATGGCAGCGATTTGCCAGCCGATGACAACGTAGTTGCCATCCATGAAACCACCCATGACACCAGTGTTGACGCCGTCGAGGCCGATGATGGAGCCGCGAGCGAAGAAAGCGTTGAAGATGAGACCGACGATACCGCCGACACCGTGCTCAGCGAAGACATCGAGAGAGTCGTCAATTCGGATGAGGAACTTGACTGTAAGATACGGTTAGTCGCTGTGGCAAAATATGTATTGATGAGTTGACTTACTCTTGGTGGCAAAGTTACAGGCGACACCAGCAACAACGCCGAGAATGATACTGGCCCAGGGGTCGATGAAACCAGAGGCAGGAGTGGCGGCAACGAGACCGGAAATGGTACCAGAGCACCAGCCGACCATGGACCATTTGCGGGCCAGGCGGAAATCGAGAATGCACCAGGTCATAGCGGCGAACATGGCAGTGAGGCAAGAGTTCCAGCAAGCCATAACAGCACGAAGGTTGGCACCGAAGGAAGAGCCACCGTTGAAGCCGAGCCAGCCAAACCAGAGGAAGATGGTACCAAGGGTGATCAACGAGATGTTGTGAGGGCGGAAGTTCATCATCATCTTCTCGTTACGGCGGCCAAGAACCCAGGAGTAGGCAAGAGCAGACATACCAGAACCGATCTCGACGGGAACACCACCGGCGTAGTCGAGAACACCGTTGACGAAACCCCAACCGTTGGGGTTCCAGACCCAGTAGGCAAGAGGGCAGTAAACGAGAGTAGCCCAGAAGAAGATGAAGACCATGCTAGGAATGACACGGCCGCGTTCAGCAACAGCACCAATGGTAAGAGCAGCAGTGACAGCGCAGAACATCATCTGGTAGAATGAGTATAGAAGAGCTGGGATGAGAGCTGATCCGACCGAAGGAGCACCCCAAACGTGTCTGAGACCGAAGTGCTTGAGATCGCCGATGAAAGGGTTGTTGGAAGTTGTGGAAAATGCGAGAGAGAAACCCCAGAAATACCACTGGAAGACGATGACGGAAAAGGACATCATGACGACCCAGAGCATGGAAAGAGCCGACTTTCTTCGAGCAAGACCGGAGTAGAGAAAGGCGATACCGGGAACCATAAGAAGGACGAGACAGGCTGAGACGAGAATGAAGGCCTGGTCACCAGATTGGTACCATTGGTTGAGGTTTTCGGTAGCTAGAGGAGAATCATGTTAGTAGTTGCTTTGCAGTGGCATCCTGAAGCCGTGATGTTGTTATTGTAAGTGAAAACATACTGGAATCACCACCAAGCTCCTCGTTGGTGCCATTGAAAGGCGTTGGGGGTCCGGGGACAACGTAAGACATGTTGGATTATCGTATATCAAGTGTCGTCGGGCTTCGTTTCGTATATTCGGATGATGTTTGATAGTGAAAGATGTCGAGAAGATGAGGATCGATGAGATTAAAGTAGTCAGTCCTTCTCGGTTCGGCTGGCGAAGAAGGTATAATCCAGTAAGTGATAAGAGAGACCGGATGAGGAAGGAAAGTTCCACCAATTCTAGGAAGGTATGGAAGTAACCTAGTTGGAATAGAAAACGGAACTGAATATGGAGAATAGAGACGAGGGGAGAGAGAAAGGATCTGAGACGGGGAAAGACTTTAATATATTTGTTCGAGGTGCTATATCAACCGTATCTAAGGTAGTCATCCTAGGCCCATTCTCCACGAGCCAAAAAGAAAAAAGGGTGCCATGGGATGGGATGGGGGGACAGTCCAATCTGCTGCAGATCTTGCTTGTACCCAAGATAGAGGCGCGATACATTGGATTCGAGACAATAGATAGCAGTTGGGCTGGGGGAGGGAGATAGAGATTAGCTAGAGACAGGGCATGTCATGGCATGGCATCCATGGGCAAGCCGCATAGATAGCACGGTACGTACTGGCAACCCAGCATTTCACAGGGCTGTACAGCACCTATTTAGTCGCTGTGATACCGCCAGCGGTTGATCTGACTCCCGCTAGATACAGCGCGTAGTAACCAAATGGACTCATAAAATTGATATCTTTATCGGTACGTACCCAGTTGTTGATAGAGATAAAGATAGCGGCAGGTACAGTACCGACCCTAGCTTCTTCAACGCTTATACCTGTTGGGTAAGGCGTCTACTATGTCGACTCCTCTTTGAGCGCCGTTCTCGGCTGGTTCCTGGGATTCCCAGATCGGAGGAACACCCTTGCCCTGTCTTTGGTCTTGTCTTGCCGGACAGAGTCCGTTCGTAGAAGACGCCCTTACGAAGATTGAGGCATTGAGGCATTGCATGAAGAAAGAAGGAAGCTTATTCTGCACGAATGATCACTCAATTGTTTATATAAATATACTCGCAGAATAATAAAATAAAAACAAAATAGGTCACACAGATAATCCTTCATGTCTGGTGTAATGCCCGTACAACCAACTAACTTACTATGAATGGGGGCTGTCTTCTTGGGCATCAGCACAAAACAAGGGTGTGCATGAAAACCTGAATACTTCAATTCATTGGATCAAGAGAACCTGGGGACAGAGAATGAGGAAATCCTCCTCCGAAGAAAAAAAGACGGGAATTAAAACGCGATTTCTTTCCCCCTGAAGACCTGGGGTTTCGTTTGGCACACGCCATTGACGCGCGATATCATGGAGACAGACAAAGCGTGGGGTTTTCTGGTCCCCAAGACAAGGCCTTGTCGTGCGTTGACAGATTGTTTGCTGTTTGAGCATCAAAGATTATCGGGGAACAGAAAAGCAGGGTTGTGTCTGTGTCTGTGTCTGTGTCTGCTCTGTAATCAAGGGTAACAATAAATCTCAAACTTTGTCACTGGGCAGACATGGATAAGAAACTCAACTCGGATCATGTACCTAGATAGACATGGCGCCGAAATTTGTCTACTCACTAATGTGATTAAAAGCTGAAAAAGCTGCTCTGATGATGTATAATACCTGAATTGATGCGAGACCCTCGCCGTTGTCGGTTCACTATGTCCGGTTTCTCGCCATCATGACGATGAAAATTGTTCTACTATAACGAAATAGTTAAAAACGAGTGGATCAACAAGAATAAAACGGGCATCTTGATCGGAAACTACTGTAATCGTGGGTTACTGATCGTCGTCTGTAAATGCGGAGAGGAAATCCAACGAGAAACCAGGGATGGGGGTAGACTAAACTGTAAAGATTATTCCATTACGGCGGACAATGTGTAAAGACGTTTGATTGCATTACTACCTTAAAACTCCATGCCATGCCATGTGCTTGGCCATACTGTCAGATCAGATCAGACCAGATTGATTTGGGCTTCAGCTCCAGCTCCAGCTCCAGCTCCAGCTTGAGCTCGAAGGATGCAATGAATCTGTTCTGAACATAGCATCGGCTGACCTATGCAATAGGTAGATAAATTGCCTTCTCATCTCTGTCTCTGTCGTAGGTAATGCGTCTCTGTAAGATATCAAAATCATCTTAGTAACAGACTTGGCGAGATATCAAAACAAGAGGCTGCAACCACCACCATCGGCTTGGCTTCTTGGCTATTTTGACCTACACACTTCAGCTCTCACCAGGAACACGGGTTTCATTCTGAAGCAAAAGTAAAATAACTCTAGCTAACCTTGTTTTTATTGATTGCCTGGCCTGTCTCACACGTGAAAAGGGACGCCACCGACTTGTGCGCATCATCTTGTTTATTTTCACTGTAGTGAATCACACTCGCTGGCGTCATCCAGATAAGAGAATTTTATGCCTGTCATTGGCCCCCAGGTCTCGGGAGCCGTCCTAAACGAGCTGTCCGTCCAAAGTGAGGTGCAGCTCTTCGATGTGAGCTTTTACTTTAATTTAGTTTCTTATCAGAACAACTTGATTGCTGTCGTTGGTTTTTTGTGGGGGGAGGCTGTGGCATTCTCGGTATAGTGCCGTAATCACCAAAAAGAAAAGGTACGTATCCTCAATTCGTGTGAGTAAAAGTGTTGTTTAATGAGAACATGGGTCGATTGCTAAAATCATGGACACATAATAATTCATCAACCAATCATATATCTCTAGTCTTTCCCAGCTAGCAGGGCATGCACATCCGAACAAGTACCTTCTTATTTATTTTTTGAAACATCATTTCAATGATTGATTGATTGTTATCAAGCTAAATGTGAATATATCCAGCTATGTTTCTGTTACACGGAGTACCCAAGCAGTCATCATGCAACGAATCCACCCCCATACCGTTCTTATTTTGTTTCTTATTTTAATTCTTATCCTGTACCTGAGAGCCCAATCGCAACCCAAAGTCGAAAAGCTTACAGTGACACGGCACGACACGACACTCAGCTTACATCTTTATAAATCTTGGCAGTTGCCCTGCATCTGCATCGTGGGTGTGAAAGCTTGGCTTGTTGACTCCCTTGTATTCCGGGGCATCCCGGCACATCGGGAGGCGGATCCTCTCTTCCGTACCGTTAATTCGGACGTATTTTGGGGCTGCTCCGAATTTGATGCCGGCACTTTACAGAGTCCAAACCTCGGCTCTAACACGGATCCAGTCAGGTTTGTACTATTATCTCGGTGAGATCGTTCACTAGAATATCAATATCCATGACACTTTCCATTAGTAGTGAGCCTCATTTTCGGAAGTTGATCATTCCTCTTCACAAGATTCCCTCATCGACATATCTTCTCCATGACGTCTCCCATAAACTGACAGGACTTCAATGTCCAGCTTCTATCCCCAGGTTTTAGCTTTAACCTATCCAATCACACTCACTCCTTACAACTTGATCAGACATGATTTTCTCCGTCTTATCTGCCCTTGCAGCATCTTAACCAATCAAGAGTCAGCCTGTCATCAAATCAACACAAATTGCACTTGGTCATATCCCAGAATCTGCCAGCTCCCACACTCCCTTTTCCTACTGTCGTAGCTATCTTTACTACCGTCACTCCTCTTCTAGAAGACTTTCTGCGTCTTGTCCTTCTCCCCGGAACGGATTGCGGGGTGGCTCTGCCTCGTCCCGCCGACCCGGAACCCCGAGATACGGATGCATACATACTCAAGGTGAGATGAAGCAACGAACTAAGAACTGTAAATACAAATTCATAATTGTCACCGCTCCCGAGGCAATTTGACCTCCACCCTTCGCTCCGGTTCTTATTCTTCATCATGGCCAACCAGCCTAATTCACCCGATAGACCTACGGCCTGCTACTACTTACGTACGGCGCTTAAGTGATCGATGCTCAAGATAGTAGAAAACTTGGAACCTGAGCTTGGGTGCCGGAAATACAGTCTGATAAGAGCCCGTCATAAATGGCATAAATTGACTAAATTATTTCGCCCCTTATGCTGACAGATCGAGTCTTCTGCTCCTCTGGGAGGCGGATGCGCGATTGTGAACTGCTCCGCTCATCCTCCATTTCGCAGTACACTTACGGTATTTGAGAATTTCAGCTACCCCAAAAGAATAACTGCCATGATAATTGTCCATGACGCCAAAACTCCGGCCTAACATGATGAAGGCACCCGCCGGGTATCGATGAACCAGGAGAGTCCTGGGATGGGAAAGCAACAAAGGGAGTTCGAATCAAAACGCCTGGGATCAGAAAATGCATAATTTGCCTGTTTGCTCCTCCCGTGTCAACTCATAAGAAAAGATATCGTGGTTTCGGTAGTGCAGCATCAGCCGATATCGCCGTGGCATTGCTGGTCCTCCACCTCCAACCTTACCTCCGACATCGTCGCCCGTCTGGACTGGACCCAGAGCCATTCCGTGCATAGGTCGCAAGGTTTTGCGATGTTTGGCCTCATCAGATCCCGTCGGTAGCACCCACTCTACTCGAAATCCGTGCTCCCAGGTAATTTCATGGTGCTCGTTAGGGCAAGGCTTTCGCGTTAGTGTTATGATCACAACCCGTCCAGTAGGTGACCCAATGGCCATGAGAGAAAGCTCAGGGGCTAAAGCAATCATGTTCAGCCTGCTTGTCGCGTGAAAGTGCCCTCGCAGCCCGACATTTCGAAAGCGTCCAAACGTCAGTACGTCGGGACAAACAACTCCGATCTCTGATGGTGAGTTTTCACTTGTCGATCCGGTGAATGAACGTAGCTCGATGTCTTTCTCGTATGTCCTTAGAAGAAACAGCTTCTTCCCAAGATCTGCCAGATGAGCCTGCGGTGTCAAGGGATGTCGGTTATGCTCAGTGGATCTACTATTCCCCAAGAATTTCATCATAGGGATGGTGTCCCGGAGCGTTGGGTATACCGTGTTGTTATGAGGAAAGTATGTCATGTCAAGTTTGAAGGGGTTTGCAATGTCTCCAGAAGCAGCTTCGTTCTTGACTTCCTTTCCATA